ATTACCCTCAAATCTATATTTGAATAATGGTTTATTAGATTGAGATCAAACCGGTCAGTCCTAGAGGAGATCAACTCTTACTGCTCTTTAGAAGGCCAGATAACTGAAAATGAAACTTTTGCCGATATTTGAAACTTACATTTCAAATATCGGCAAAAGTGCAACTGTATGTTCATCATTTGTATGTAATTCAGTTTCACATTTCATCATATGTTGTTCAATTCCAGTAAACGTTTTAGTTATATTTTTTTTCTCTCAGTGGTATATGAAAACCATTGACAACTATATTCTTCTATAATCAAATATTCTCAATTCACTTAAGTTCTCCATTTGCTTCTACTAATAAATTTTGGTATGTTAACTATTTCTTTTTACTGACTGTTTCTTTTCTATTAAAGGCTTCTTTTGGTGAGACCATTAAAGGTACTTTTGAGCACAGCCTGGGCTTATATTTATTTTATATTTTTCTTCTTCCCTAAGGATTTTTAAAATGTACATGAACTTTAACTTTATGGTACCATAAAAAGCTGTGGTGATCATATCTCAGGTTATGTAGTTCTAATTCTAATATTTTTTAAAAATTTCTCAGCAATACCCATTCTTTTATCCAAACCAAGTGGCAGGCTGCAGATATATTATATCTTAACTATTATTGAATATGGTCTTATGTAAGCCTTTATCTGCTCATCCACTCCAATTCTTTCTAGTGGAATTTAGATTTTAACAATTATTTAGAGCAGGAACCAATACTATGTTTTAAACATTATTGCTGTTTAGAAGCTGAATGAAAGAGGTAAAGATGTTCCGTTTCTTCTTACATGATTTTTCAAGTGCTGCTATGTGGTGAGATTACATTATGTTGTGTGCGATAAAATAAGTAAATGTCTTCTCTTATAAGCCTGTAGAAGACAATAAACAGACATATATCTCTAAGAATAGCCTCTTCCTCTCAGTGATAATTTGGTTATATAACGTGTATAAATAGGTCCATTAAAATGAATATTGGAAGATAAATCAAATGCACTCTATTCGGTATGAATGAAAATCACATATTGGGTATTTGTGGAACCCTGCAGTGCAGCAGACAGAGTATTAGAATCAAAAGTGTTTAATGAGCATCTCTAATGAAGTAGATGAATATTTCTGGTGATATTTCACACCTCACTACAAAGGGAAGAAATAAAAGGAAAGAGATGAGTATGTAAGAGAGACAGAATGCATCAATGTACAGTATGTTCAAGATTACGCAGTAAGAAGTAACACATCTTGTTACTGCAACATGAATCCAAATGCATGTTCTACTGAAAATGCAGTACCTGAAAAGATTACCTTCAATTTCACCTTTAATATACTGCATTTATGAGTAACTCAAGGCAGTGAACGTTTATAATGCTTTCTCCTCCTATTTTCCCCAGAACAACAAGCTTGTGAGGTGGCTTTGGCTGAGAAAGGGTGGCTGGGCCAAAGCAATCCAAGTGACTTCTAATCCTGCTTTCTAGCCTACTGCCTTAACCACTAGACCAAACTGACTCTCTTTAGTTTTCTAAAGCATTGTTTTAAATACTGTGTGCTAAAATGTGAGATTCTCAGTTTTCCTTTCTCAGTAAATAACTTTATCACCTCAGAAAATGTGGAAGAAAATTTAAATATGGAACTGTATCACAATGTTTAAGGCAGTATTTTTAAAAAAGAAATTAAAACTTAGAAAGCAATAAAGAAATGAAGGTATTTGGGTCTTTAGCATGCATCACACTCAAACATTGGGATTTTTATTTGACAATTCAGGTTTGTTTTTAATCTAGTGGATGTAGTGTTTTCATTATTGTGAATTATAATTCAATATACATGAACTCATTTCCCATTAGATTTCTTTCAGTGATGAGAGTTATTTTTATTTTTATAGAAAAAGAGAAGAGAAGCCACGATGGTCCATTTGAAATGTTTCTAACTCTAGAGTTAATAAGTCCTTTTAAAAGAGAAGCTAAATTGTTACTGTTTTTTTCAGGATTATGTATCCTCTATACCTTAATAAGGGTTTTCAGTGCATCTTCAATTTGTTTCTTATAGATAAAGAAACAATAAAATCCTGCTAGATTCTTTTTTCTTTCTCAAAACAAATGTATTATTTTCCTTTAGACATCATAATGGTTCTAGAGCAGGGGTGTCAAACTTGCAGCCCACGGGCCGGTTGTGTCACATGCTGGCTCTGCCCCCGCCTGGTTTAGCAAAGGGGAAAAAAATCCTGATATGTCACATGACATCACCATGATGACGCAAATTTGATACCCCTGTTGTAGAGCATTACTTGATTTTGTATTTTCAGAATGGGATTAACAATTATTAGATTTGCTGTCCAGCAGCTCCTGATATTCTACTTAAAAAATAAGCAGAAGTCTGCTATTTTTTCCTACATTCCCTGTTAAAATTGAGCCAAAATTGAGTTAATAGAGAAGGCAAACCAAGAACAGAAGAAAAGGACCATGTAAAAGAAAGAAAGAAAAAATAATAGAAGTTTTCTAACAAAACAGAAGCTATGTGATCCTAAATAGAAATGCAATCATCTACATATAGTCATCATTTCAATATGAAGATTTGTTCAAAGCATCAGTAATCATTTTCTTTTTCTCATTAATTTATAAATGTAGGGGCAATAAGCAAACAGCAAACAACCATTGTGAATTATTGTTGAGTAATTGTCTTAATTAAAATTCAAATCCAAAATTCAAATATATATTTAACATTAATAATAATAGTAGTAGGATTCTCATGCTATAGTTTTAATTGTACAAAATCCCATTTTTGTATTTAACAAACCTATTTTCAAACCTATCTTACAAACATTGATCAACAAATAGGTGAACAAAAGTACTGTTCACCTTTGTTCTCAAGTATGGATTTGAGAGTACTATTACTATACTTTTAGGTGAACTTCCTTTGTATCTATTGACAGTTACATAATTCCTAATGAAATGAAATGTCTTAGCCAAATGACATTACAATCATGTTTCAGATTCAATAGGCCTAAACCTACTTCCTTTTTTACATATATAATCCTAGTTATATAGTTTTTTAATACACTATTAAAATATTTTGCATTTTACCTGAAACTTCTGTTCATTCAATATAAAAGGGAGAAAACACTGAAGGTAATTATAGTTTGAATTAAACCTTTCTTCCTGCTTTTGATTTCCTTTCCTTGTTGCTTTACTTGCTGTTTAATGAAAGTTCTGGAGAGCTGAAAAGCTTGCTTTCTCATTTTGTCTTATCCCAGTAACAGTATTGCCAGAGTTGATGTTTTATAGTCACAGGCCATTAAATTATTTCAGCTCCTCCAATGTTCAGAGAGCATATTCAGATGTGCTGATGTTCAAATTACTGTACTTGGAAATACTGCAGATTTCTTGGGCAACTCACACTTCATTGCATATTAAGTGCCATTTAATGCTTCATTTCCAAGCATTCTCACATATTGCCTCATTAAACACATCTTCCCATAGTGATTCTCTCTATTTAGGTGAACACTTCTCAATGTTTTTCATATTAGGTATATTTTAGGTATGTATAGGTATTGTATTGTTAATAAACTGGATGTTATACAATCTCCTGGTATTCTCATATACGGCTATATATGTCATGATGAGATTCTACACTTCAAAAGCAATCACTAAATCACTGCATGTGACATTCTATATTCACAAGCCAAAACTGAATATATTGTTTCATCAAAGTGCTTAGACCAGAACTGTACAGCAGAAATGTGTTATCTCAGCCTTAGCTACCTGTAGACATATTCATTATTCAAGCTATTCATTATGACTTTATAAATTCTCCTACATTACATTTCTGAAAAAAGAGATTTCGAACTACTATACTAATCAGGAGAATGAGGTGGGAAGAATTGGAAGCTTGATGTCTCTTGGATGCGTAAAAAAAGAAAGAAATGTATATAGATACATACAAATAATTCCAAAAATTTTAAAGACTAAAGTGACCAAGTCACAGGGCTGAACCACAGGTGCATTATTCCTGTGGCACGTTCCAATCTCCTGGACTTCACCCCAGGCACAGGATGGCAGGCTTTCTAGCCCTGGGCTAGGCCCTGTTATTGTTGTAATTGCTAAAGAGAAGGCCAGTGTGTGTATCATAGAGACTTGGCTGGGATAGGAGGGCAGAGTGCTGTTCTCTGAGATTTGCCCAGCTAGTATTCAGGTTTGGCACTAGCTCAGACTCCAAAATAGGGTGTGTGGAGTGGTAGTGATTATACGAGAGACTAGAGAGGTATTCAGCAGACATTCTATTCACATTACTGGATATGCTCTTTCTTAAGTTGGGCACCAATGGGGCTCTGTTGCTATTGTACCAGCCTCCCTGCTGTGTAAGTGACCTCCCTGCCTGACCTTCTCAACTCCATGATTATGTTTCAATCTGCATTTCCTGGGTGTGAGGTTATCCACATAGTGGCAATAATACATCAAAGATTCTACATTATCCACAATGGAGGAATGACTGGTGACATGATGAAGCTTCCGAACATGGCATAATTAACTTTCTTGATCCGAGAAAAGATAATATTTCCATTTATAGCTGACTGGAAACTCCTTTTAGAATTTTTGCATGAAACAGAAACAATGCTCTTATGATTTGTGATTATTACAAATGGATAATAGAAAAATGGGAGCTTTTATTGTAAACATAGAGAAGGAGGTAATATTGTAACCATATTTATATTTGCAGCGCAAGAAATTGACAGCTGATTCTTTCTACTTTTCATTCTTTCTCATTGCACTTTTGCTTTTTTATTCTATGCTTTTTTCTATTTTGTATTACTTGTTATGTTCTCTTTATAACTTTTAATAAAATGTATTTTTCTTTTTTAAAAAAAGAAGCCAGATCTTTCTCAGAACCATTTGTAGAACCATGTTTATTTTTATCACCAGTTTCTTGTTTATAAAACTAATGTTTGTTTCCATTGTCAATGTTTGTTTTTGTTACTTTCCCAGATCCTGACACTGTCAGGTCCACCAGAAGGAGGAACACGAGTCACTATTCGTGGTGTCAACCTGGGGCTGGATTTCTCTGAGATAGCCCACAATGTACAAGTAGCTGGTGTGGAATGTGTTCCACTAGAGGACCAGTACATTATTGCTGAACAGTGAGTTTGTTTGCTTGTTTGTTTATATCCCTCCCTTATTATTTTTATAAATAAGGCAGTGAACATACCTAATACTTTTTCCTTCTCCTATGTGGTCTGTATGTGAGCAGATAACAAAATAATAGCACTTAATATAAATAATGTTTTTCCTCAGAATAAAGGCAAGAATTCAACTGAATAGACAAGTGCTAAGAATATTGTGATTTCAGACACTAATTTGTATAAATAAAGTTGTAAAACTAGGTAAATCATTATGACAAAATATTACTTTTCAATGAACTGGATTCCTTGGTGTCATTTTAATTAATCTTTACTATGAGGAAGAAGCCGTTGTCCAGTTCCAATTATGTCTAGCATGCTTCACAAAATTTTTGCCTTTGCCCTGCTACTACTTTAAAAAAACTGAAAATGGAACCAGTCTAACTTTAGCAATTGCACTGGAAAATCTCCAGTATTTTGGAACACCACAGAAACTCTGAATTCAGAGTTACAAAAGATATGGGTAGAATCCAACATAATATATCTTTTTCTTTCTCTGCTCAGGCGATTTCATTTACAGATGAATCTGCAGAGAACTTGTATGTGTCTACTTCAGACACAACCAGCATTTTCTCCATTCCTCTGGGCATCAAGGGGCCAGAACACTGGGTAGATGTAGTGGAAAACTGATGTCATCATTGGGATAGTAATTTGAGAGATGTATAGGCAAATTGACATGTTTGCAAAACATGCAGTAAACTTTGAGAAGAACTATCTCTTTAAAATTGCTTATAACACCTAAAGGAGATTCTGGGTGTGGAGCAACCTATTCTTTTTTTTCTTCCAGAGTTAAGAAGACAATTTGTCAGAATAGTCCTGCAATGATTGATCTAAAGTCTGTAGTGAGGCTTCAGGATGTTTGGTGACTTGCATAACTTCAATGCCATGGGCAATAGTCAGTTCTCAACCTCTTCTTCTGCTCTTCAAGTCCAAATGTGTTTCAATACTTATTAAACTTTGTCATTGCTAACTGGAATTGGGGGGGGGATGGTATTTTGGTCATGTCCTCCAATCTGAAGAAAAGAAATGTGATGTAGGTGTCAAGACACTGGAAATTCCATAGATAAGGTAGGTTCAGGACTTATAATGAGCCAAAGAAAACAGCAACCCAGGCAATTGGTTTATTGGAACCATTTGTTCCTACATGTTTTCAGCCTTTCTTGATCCATCACATTATCATAAGCACAGTCAAAACAACTATAGGAACATATTTTCAACATCAGGGAAGATCAAGATCTCTTTTCTGATGTAGGCAGCTTCTCTGATGCATTGACAGGCAAGACTTCACATCATCAGTCTTTCAGCAGAATATTGTGAATTTCTGCTCATTTCATTTTAGTTACCAGTTGGATCAGTCAGGGGGACCTAGATCCAAGATAGCAGAGTCTGAGTCCCGTAGTCTTTGGCAGCATTTCAACTCAATTTAGTATGCCCTTTGTGGATGTTTTTTGCATTGCCAATCAACCACAAAAGCAATCACAGCATTGACTATCAGATATCCCCAGGGTCTCTTATATGCTCATCCTGCTGTTCCTCTAATTTCCAGAAAGTTAAGGCATGTATGTTATGTTGAAACTATAATTATTTTTTGAATCTGGGTGCAATAAAAGTGGCCCTCATGTTTAGCAGGGCAAGTATGTATCAGATCTAAAAACCCAAAACTTCCTGGATTAGAAGTAAGAGATTAAGATCTTGCTTGTCAGATCTCAATCTCTGATTTCTAATCCAGAAAGCTTTGGGTTTTTAGATCTGATACATACTTGCCCTGCCAAACATGAGAGCCACTTTTATTGAACCCAGAACCCAAAAGATAAATTAATTTCAAATCCGGAGATTAAGCAGCTAGCCCATTTACATTATAATCAGGATTCCATCCAGGCCATTCCTTTATCTATTTTTATAGTTTAACAGTGGTCCTATTTTGGGTGACTCAGTATATAGCACCTATTTATGAGCTCACCTGGAAGATATTGTAACAGTACTGTAAAAGAAAAAGTCTCCCTATTGGGTTTTCAGTAGTGATGTTTTTCAAGTCTTGGTTCAATAGACCCTGCATCCTTAACAATTTTACCTGGCAGGTGTTTTGAATATTCTCTTATGCTGGATTGTATTTCATGTGTTTCTGTAACATTTCATCAGTGTGCCAAAAACTTTCTTCCAGTGTCTTCCTTTTGAAATGTTGTTATGTACACAACATCATCCTGGAATTTCCATTTAATGTTAAAACATTTAAATGATTATATTTTATGAGTTACTTTCATCTAGAAAATGGCTTCTGGGTGCTATTATTTCAGCAATATCTATAGATGATATTACCCTTTTACTTGTTGTAAAAGGTTTTTTTCTCAACCAGATCCTTATCTGTTACTGCTTAGCTTTGATTCCAAGAGATGCTTTTTTTCTGCTTACAGTGAAATAATATTTCTTCTTTAATAGAATTTCTTACTTTTTAGCAATATAGTCAGACCTAAACATATTTAATAGAATTCCAATATGTAGTGTTCAGCAACAAGCAGTCTTTACAGATAATGAGAAGTGACAGTTATCAGGTATCATGATCATTTGTCCCATTTATAATGACGTAGTTTAAGTGTATTTGGGATGACTTCTGTAGATCTATTTGCGATGAGAGATGATCTTTAAAACAATCAAAGCTTCATATTATAACAATGGAGTAAGTATAAAATATCATTGTTCCTCCTTTAACCTGAATCATTTCCAAATTACTATGGTTAAACTCCCTGAACTGCTGGGTAATCTAACTTTCCTTTCACCTTTAGTCAATTCCCTTTCACCTTTCAATTTAATATCAGTTCAAATATCTCCTCCACTGCCCTTCTCTATCAACCTCAACTGACTCCAACTGAGAACCTAGAAGTACCCCTACTTGAAGTCAAAGTGGTTAACTCTTTGTCACTAGCAGTGGCATAAGCAAGTTCCATGGCTGTACTAATCAAACAATGTATAAATTATACATAAACAGGTTTCCATAATATTGGTACTTTGGCACCCTTTATTTCAGAAAAGAGTTATGTATTACCAGGAAAAACTAATGTTCTTTTCATGGATCCAGTGAAGTTGTTTCTTCTTTTCCTAGGAGACAATAATTGTTTTTTGTCTTATTTCCACCCATATACTAAGATATTTTATTTATTAATTTATTTGATTCAACATCAATTTTTCTCTCTTTTTGGTTCAGTCTTCAGTCTTCGTCCATTTACTTTTTCTACCGTGCATATCCACTTTTCAGCAGCCATCAGCTCAAAAAAGCATACCTACACTGATTTAATGCAGTTTTTCTTTCTTTCATATAAAACATATGCACAAATGTCAAGCCTAAATCTAACATGCAAAACAATAAAATCAATGACTTTTTAATAGAATGCATGGGATATGAAGAAATTCTGGTGTAAGTGTGCCTTTGTATGCGTGCACATGTGCACACAGAAATACATGTTACTCCAAAGTTAAATATACTGGTATACTTTTCCAATGGCACCATTGCTTTGTGTAGCAATGTGTGACTGAAATTCCCCATGCCTTTTGCTATATATTTAAACTAATATACTGTTCTAGTTTACTGCATTCTGCCTGATGTGTTCTCAGTGTGCATGAGCATTTTGAAATGGGGCTACTATTTCCCTGGCAGCATTCTACTTCTCTTTCTTGCTTCTAGACATCCTTAACAATCCTCTGCTTCTTTTTATAGTGCCAACATGACCCATAAGGCACATTGTTGGGGTGGAGGAAGCATATGTTACCAATAGTTTATGCTTAATTAACCCTTGATTAATCAGTTCCCGGATGACTTCTGAAGGCAGTTTCCAGCACAACGATCTGCATGGTTCTAAATTCCTGACATTTCTACTTTTTTATTCCACTGCACTGTGCTTGTCAAGCCAGATTCTCAGCTAGTATAAATTCAGTGGCACCCCAGTGATCTAGGCTATGCCATCCCAGACTGGGAAAAACTAGATTGTTTAGTTCAAGGATTAAATGACCCTTTAAAATGTTTATTTATTAAGCATTTTGTTTTCCGCCCAAGTCTGGCCTCCTGTTTTGCTAAGCCACTTTCTTTCAGAGAAACCTTGTGGTTTACGTTCATTATCCTCCCCACTCCGATTGGAATGCATCCAGCCATGCTGCCAGATGCAGGCATCCATTTGTTAAGCATGCAAGGCAGTGACAGCAGTTTAATCCAAATAGGCCTCTGCAGGAGTCAATTCATTTATTTCCCTAAGAAAAATGTCAGGTAAAAAATTAGAAAACAGGTATGTAACAAAGGACAGGCAAATAACCCCTTCCACAGTGACACATATCCCTGTATTTGTTCCTTATTTTGTTTGTTTTTGTAGCATTTCCAGGGGGGGGGAGGAAAGGGGGGAGTGTATTGAAAGCAGGATTATGCTCATCCATGCAGGAAAGAAAAGAAAGACTATGTTGCCATTGTATTTTCATTAACTAAAAGCATTAGCGGAAGCATAGCCGGGTTAGTCTCTGATGGCAAAAAGCAATGAAGGACTTGGGGAACTGTACACTCTGCACGTATGTAGCAAAATTGTGAACTAAACATGCATTGTTTACATGCATGATGTGGAAAAAAAGAGGGAAATGACACAAACCATACACTTGACTGGGATCAATTTTAGGAATTTGGGTGCCCTATGCAGCACCAAGTTAGGACTGGTCTCTTTCTAACTTTGCAGATCAAAGTGGAATTCATACAGAATCTGAACCAGGGTGAAATTCAGCAGGTTCTGACAGGTTCTGGAGAACCGGTAGCAGAAATTTTGAGCAGTACGGAAAACCGGCAAATGCCACCTTTGGCTGGACCCAGAGTGGGGTGGGAATGGAGATTTTGCAATATCCTTCTCCTGCCATGCCCACCAGGCCACGCCGACAGAACCAGTAGTAAAAAAATTGAATTTCACCACTGATCTAGGTAAAGATGCATCTAGTAT